CCCCGACATTTGCATCTGACAGCTCCTTTTTTTTTTTTTTTTTTTCCCCCCCCATTGTAAGGCCTGTGCAAAGCCTCTATCCCAGTGGTGGTAAGAGAACCACCGGGATTGAGGCGCATCTGACAGCTCCTTAGTCCATACTCGCACCGGAATTTCTCTTCAATGTATCTGTCCGCCGCGATGTTTCTTCCAATGGTCTTGCGGAAGATTCGTTCTCATTTCACACATTGGCAGGCTGCTCAGTTGATGCACACATGAAATTGTTCAATTGCGGACGTGAGTTCGAATCCAGCAGCGACCACAATTAAATAGTTCTGATTTACAAAGGATCCCGCGGCGTGCTGATACCTTGGCCGATGCCCCCCCAAATGCTGCGCGTCCCTCATGTTCTAAAACAAACACCCTTAATGTCGCCTGAGCCAGATACTGGTCGTGCCTGGGGTGGCCTGGCCTGAAGAGGATGCGTGAGGCGGAGGAGGAGGTCGCACATGTAGGAGGAGGTGGTGCGAGGGGGAGGGGGGATTGCACGAGGGGTAGGAGGAGCTCGGAAAAGGGGCAAGAGGAGGTGGCACGGAGGTCGCACAAGGGGGAGGAGGAGGTCGGAAGACGATGTGCGAGGGGGAAGCGCAGATCATGTTAGGACCAGCTGGAGGTCGTGTGGAGGTCATGTGGAGGTCAAAAGAGGTGGGAGGAGGTCGCATGAGCGGGATGAGGGGGTCAGAAGAGGACGCGTGAGGGGAAGGAGGAGGTCGCGCAAGGAGGAGGAGGAGCTGGAGGAGGCCGGAAGAGAGGTGGGAGAAGGTCGAGCAAGGGGAAGGAGGAGGTCCGAAGACGATGTGAGAGAAGGACGTGCAGGTCAGGCAAGGACAGGGAGGAGGTTGCGCGAGGGGGAGGAGGTAGCACAAGGGGGAGGAGGAGGTCGTGGGAGGGGCAGGAGCAGGTTGCATAATGGGGAGGAGAGGTTGCAGGAGGTCGTGCGGGAGGGGGAGGAGAGGCGGGCGCCACAACGGAGGACGAGGAGGTCGCATGGTCACACAAAGCAGAGGTGTGCGAGAGAGAGAGAGAGAGAGAGAGAGAGAGAGAGAGAGAGAGAGAGAGAGAGAGAGAGAGAGAGAGAGAGAGAGAGTCCACCTTTTTTGCGGGGGGTAATTTGCTAAATACCCCCGTAAGTTGAGATATATGTCAAAATGTCCCTGAAAGATCTGGGCACAGTGGAATGACGTTTTGGGCTGGCATCGTTGTGTTATGCCCCTGTCAGGCCGGTGTGCAAATTCGCAATCTCTGCCTCCCCGTTGCCCCTTGGCCCCTTTTGCTATTGCACCTACGAAAAGTTGGCAACTAGAGGGGCATTTTGCAAAGTTGGACGGCTTCCAGTAGGGGTACATTGCAAACATGGGGTCCAATCAATGTCTGGGGTGTTTTGCAAAATGTTTTTGTCATCGTCCATCGCCGCAGCGTAGCTGTGGCAGGTCCACTTGTACGGATAAAGACTTGTTAAAAGTTCATAAAACGGTAGAGTAAATCATTTACAGCACACATTCCAGAAACAACCCCATTATTTTTTCTTTTCCTCCTCCTCCTCCTCACTATCATCATCATCATCATCATTATCATCATCATCATCATCATCATAAGCTCAGAAACTACAACAAACTCTTTCTCCTCGTTCTCCTCCTCCTCCTCCTCCTCATCATCATCTCATTCTCATCCTCCTCCTCCTCCTCATCATCATCATTTCCTCTGAAGGTACAAACACCTCCATGTCACATACTCAGTTCCACGTGGGCCCAGCAGGGCCCGACCAGGTAGACTAGGGGTTAGTAGAGTTAGGTATGTGTCGTTTCGGCCGACATTAGGGCCCGTAGGGTCTGTCGGTTAGGTTAGGCCGACCGGTACCAGTGAGAGGCCCTAAAGGCCTCGTTTCGGATTCAGGCCCTGGCGCACATTTGGGGCGCCAGACCCTGACCCAGAGGCTGTGCCGTTTCAGTAGGCACTTGGGCGGTTGAGGCTCAGGCTCAGTTTCGTTTCAGTAGGCACTTGGGCGGTTGAGGCTCAGGCTCAGTTTGGGCGCCAAACTTTCGAGGCCCAGCCTCAGATTGGGCACCAGACTCAGCCGCTGAGACCGACCCAGCACTATATATAGCTGGGTCCAGCCTCCGTCCGGGATTGAGGAGAGGATGGAGCAGAGGCTCTCTTCGGATGCCAGCAGTGTAGTAGTTGTCTTCCAACGCTGAGCGCTGATAGGACTTAGAGATGCGCAGGGAGAGGAGAGAGACTGTGGCGGAGGCCGGGGACTTACCTGAGACTTACCTGCGACACCATCGCTCCAGCTTCGTCTTCAGCACATCTGTACCTCCATCAAGGCGCCGCCTTTCGCAGGTCAGTACCTGGTACAGAGCGAGCGAGAGAGAGAGAGAGAGAGAGAGAGAGAGAGAGAGAGAGAGAGAGAGAGAGAGAGAGAGA